ACCTGCATCCTTGGTGCCAATCTGTACGCCTGGCCTCAATCACCAACTTGGCCGAAGGCCAAACAGTGGACCAACGACCTGCTTTCCCACCTCACCCAACAACTTGTCTACGGCCGCTCTGGCCCTCGATTTGTGGCCGGGGATTACAATCACAGTGACGAACAACTTGCGGATCTGGACCTTTGGCGCCAGGCAGGTTGGGTGGAGATCCAGGAACTTGCCTTCAATCTTTGGGGACGCGCTCCAAGGCCTACTTTCAATGGCTCCACCTTCATTGACAAAATCTTCGTCAGCCCGGAACTGGCCCACATGATCACCAGTGTCAACAGTGCCTGGGAAGGCTCCGGTCATGCTCCCTTGTACGCCACCATCGAGGTACCGGATCTGGCCCATCAGGTCTGGCATTGGCCTCTTCCCAACTTCATTCCCTGGGACTCGGTCAACAAGGAGGCCTGGCACGCATCCTGTGCTATGGATACCCCGACCACCTCAACCACCACCACATCTCGCTACAGCGAGATCGGCAAGCATTTTGAAGAGAGTCTCAGCTCCCACATCACTGAGGCTCCTCACATGCTCCCCAACGCTTGTCGGGGCAGAGCGCAGCGTCTTCAACCGGAGCTGCGTCTCAATACGGCACCACTTCCCAGACCAGGCCGTCCTGGTGACCCCCAACTGCGTTCAGACCTGGTCAATCGCAACGTCATTCGCTGGTACCAACAGCTCAAGCGTATCCAGCACTTGGTCCACGCCACACGGGGAGGCAAAACCCACTTGGAGGCAACCCTCCATCGTTCCAACACATGGGCCTCCATCATGAACGCCAAAGGCTTCAATCCTGGCTTCCCCCAATGGTGGCTCTCTCGGCCTCAGACCCCTGATCTCCAAAGCCTGCTGCCTATCCAAGCTGACTTTGAGTTCAACTTTCGCCGGTTTGAAACTTGGTGCTACCAGCAACGGTCCCATGCATTGAGCTTGCTCCTGCAACAGCGGCGCCGGTTGCTGTTTTCTCGCATCAAAGACCCGGTCCCGGGCGCTCCACTTTCACTGAGAAAGTCGGTGAACACCACAATCCTGGCAGTCAGTGAGGATGGCCAAGAGGTCCACACGGAACATGACATCCCGGTCCACCGCCACTCCTCTTTCACCTTCAACGACCAGCCTGTACCTGCTGTCATTGAGGGCCCTTTCCACTTGCGGGTCGACGCGGACCACGTGCTCACCCCGGGCCAGGACATTGAGCTCACGACACCCTCCGAGATCTTTGAGGAGCTCTCATCCTACTGGTCACAACGCTGGTCTAGGATCCAGCAACTACCCGAGGCTCAACTACGACGCATCATCTCCTTTGCGGAGGTCTACATGCCACGAAGTCCATGGATCTATGAACCCCTGGACCTTACCCGTTGGTCTCAAGCGCTTCACCAGCCGATCGGCTAGAGGTCCTGACGGCTACGACTTCCAGGACCTGCGCAACATGCCTCCCACACAACAAGCCACCTTGCTTCAGCTCATCACTGACGTTGAGCAAGGTCAACCTTGGCCTCAACAGCTCTTGGAGGGCCACGCTGTTGGCATACCCAAGACAACTACTGCCACCATGGTTCAAGACTTCCGGCCGGTGGTCATCACATCACTGATCCAGCGCAACTGGAGCTCCCTACGCGCCAAGCAGGCCACCCGTCGCCTTGCGCTCATGGTCCCGTTCATGGCCATGGGCTTCCTTCCCAACCGGGAGCCTGGTGAGCTTTGGCTCACTACCCAGGCCCTGATTGAACACAGTCTCCAGCACGAAACCCCGCTACTGGGGCACATCACGGACATTTGCAAGGCGTTTGACCATTTGCCTCGCCAACCAATAGCGTGGCTTCTATGCCACCTGGGAATGCCTTCGCTCCTCGTTGACGCTTGGCATCGATGGCTCGACCAAATGAGTCGCCGCTGGACCTGGCATGGCCGGATTGGAGAGCCGCTGCATTCAACGACGGGATATCCCCAGGGCTGTGCTCTCAGCTGCGTGGCTATGATCGTCGTGGATCTGGCCTATCATCACTACATGCACCACTTCTCGCCCAAGATCCTGGCCACATCCTTTGTGGACAACTTCGCCCTTCTGGGACACTCGATTGGAGACCTGATCCATGGCATCGTCACCCAGGCCGTCTTCATGGACCTCTGGCAGCTGGACTTGGATCAATCCAAAACCTTCTGCTGGGCCACGCTGGCTCCTCTTCGTGCCAGCCTCACTAAGCTGGGGCACACAGTCAGGCTGCATGCGCGCGACCTGGGCGGGCAGCTCACCATGCAGGCTAAACGCCACACGGCTTCCCTGCTGGGCCTCCTTAAGTCTTTGGATGACGTGTGGCTACGAATCCGGAGACTTCCAGTTCCACAGGTGCTCAAGGAGCAGGTCATCATTCAGGCCCTTTGGCCGAAAATCTTCCACGCCACAGGCATCAATGTGTGCCCTGACCAAGTCATCTCCAAACTCCGTACCAAGGTGTGCAAAGCGCTTGGCCACGGTCTGGCAGGTGCTCAACCTGCGGTCCGCCTAACCCTGCTCAGCTCCAACCCACTACTGGACCCGGGCCTGTACTGCCTCTGGACCACCTTCCGTGACTTCCGGCGCTTGACATCCAAGCAGCCCTACCTGCTCTTGCTGTGGCAGGACTTCATGGCGCACTTTTCTGGCCATCTGCACCCAGGCCCATTCAGCGTTCTTCTGAACCAGCTGGAGCTCCTTAGCTGGCATCTGCATGACCCTCCCTTCGTCTCTGACCACACGGGACATCAATTCGACTTCCTTGGTCTTGCGGAAGACCAACTTTGGACGAAGGCGGTGCATGGGTGGCACCTCAGGCTGTCCCGGACACTTGCTCGGCGCAAGGACATCGATGATCTTCTGGGTCTCGACTGGCGCCCAACTCAACTCGCGCTGCAAAGTCTTCCTCCCCTCGCTCTGGCCAGCATGCAGGCCCTTGTGGAAGGCTCGTTCATGACGGGTCGATCTCAGGCCAAATTCGACCTTACCAAAGATGGGAGCTGCTCTTTCTGTTCGGGCCCCGACACCATTGAGCATTGGTGCCTACATTGTCCAAGGCTTCAACCGGTTCGGCACCGGCATGCCGACATACGGCGGCGTTGGCACGCCCTTCCCTCGTGCATGACAGAGCATCTGCTCTGTCCAGCCAATCCCTTTCACCAGCAGCTGCTCCATCAGCTCTGGCTTCAGCCTCAGACCGCCTTGCACGCACACACCTCTGCTCTTCCTTCCCACCTCGACTTCTTTACTGATGGCTCCTGTTACCAACCCCATCACCCGATGCTGGCGTTAGCAGGATGGGCGGCTTCATTGGCCTTCACCGACTTTGATTTGGCGGGCCCACTGATTGGCCACCCTCAGACCATCAGTCGAGCGGAACTCACGGCAGTGCTTCAGGTATTGCGCTGGTCAAACGTGCATGCTATCGCCTCACCGATCTCTATTTGGACGGACTCTGCCTATGTGGCCTCGGGAGTCAATGCTTTGCTCCATGGTTTGGATCACGAACCTGGAGCTAACTGTGACCTTTGGGAGGACATTGAGAACGCCCTGTCGGTTCACGAGGCGACAATTCAGATACAGCATGTTGCGGCGCATGGGGATTCGACGGTCAGCCTTAATCCGGTCTCGGACTGGATCGTCGCTCACAACAACCGTGTCGACCTTCTGGCTAAGCAGGCAGCCTGGCAACGCAATATGCAGTTTTTACAGAGCCACTCGCAGTACCAACAGCATGACCTTCAGGTTTGTCGGGACATCAAGGCACTGGTTTCTCTGCATGTGGATGTTGCATCGGCACGTGCTCAGTTGTTGGCCACCCCACTGGAATTGGACCCCGAGCTTGAGATTGAATCGACCCCGCAATGTGTGATTCCCTGGCTCCATGATTCCTACTGGTTGGACGATCTGCCGATTGCCTGGAGCAGCCTTTTGCGGGAAAGTCCGATTATGGCACCCTTTGACCCGCCCTTCTTTCTGACATTGATGCAGTGGTTGCATTCGATCGATACAGTTGGTGCGGGCCTTGCAGCCGTGAGTTGGATTGAGCTGGCCTTTTTGGTGAAACAGGCCAACTTCGCGCCTTTACCGGTACCTGCACCTGGCTTGCAGGAGAGGTGGAACAATGGATCTTCCCGGCACCATGGTATGACACTCGCATCCTGTGTGCGCTATCTGCAACGTGGATTCCGCGCGGCAATGCGGGTCTGAAACGCTCCCGTGCCTAGTGTGACTCTGGTGCATCTCGCACCCATTGGAATTCATATGCCTGTCAGAGGCCTCCATCTTCGCCTGGCGGAACACCATCTTGTACAGGTGCACCATTTGATTTCGGCGTTCACTGCCACGAGGCGAATCAGGTCTACCAATGACCTGTCCAGACCTTTTTGAGGACAAGAGACCGCTGCGTGCCGCACCGCCTTGTTGCTGTGCGCGCGCTTGAGCCGGAGTGAATGAATGCTTGTTGTGGCTTAGTGGGAAATCCCCACTTAACTGCTACGTAAAATTTGAGAATCTTTGCTCCCCTTCCAACGTCAACCAAGCTGTGTCCTCTCCAATGGGGGGCCATTTGGTTTGATACCTTTTTGTTGCCATTTTTTCTGGCAGACCTTTCAAAGACCCCTCTCGGGTTCCACGTACGTGAAGTTGGGGTTCCCTCTTCCCTTTAAACGGAAGGGACGGTACCACGTATTTCTGCCTGACGTCCAGAAAAGTCTACAGTATATTTGCGCAACACCTCCGGGGAAAACACAAAGAAGACAAAACAAAAAAGGCAAAACACGGGTTGAACCGGGTTGAACCGCCCTTCCCATTCCCCCTCCCCCTCCTCCCCTTCCTCTGTAGTCCACGGAAACCCTGCCCCCAGCACCTGGGGTGGGTTTTGGCAGCGCCCTGAAGCTTCGAGGTCGGTTTTCCGGCGCCGGAAGGCCTGGGGTTTCGGCAGTTTCGGCGGAGCGAGGTCGCGGAGGTGGACCAAGCCATCGAGGTCCTCATCTCCGCGGGGATGTCCACCCCGGCGCTGCGCCACGTGGAGCGCCTGGGCATCAACATCGACCACGCCGGCTGCATGGAGCTCGTGCCTTGGAGCGATCCCCCGGAAAAGAAAGATCAAACGAAGCCAATGGGATATATAACGTATTCAAAAATTGTTTGTTTATGTTTTTTGTTTAAGTTGCATATTTGTTTATTCATTGATTGACGTGTCGTTATAGGGGGACATGTCCACTTAGTGAGTTCCAGTTCCGTTTCGGACCTTACTCACTTTTTGGGTTTGGACCAATGTAGTGGCAAATAGTGGGATGTGTGCGCGTCTTAAGCTTGGGATCTCCGAAAAGTGTTACTTCCAAAGCTGGAATTCTGATTTTTGTTCTTACCTCTCTGGAGGACCTAGTTGGCATTTGGACAGCAACCATAGGTGTCCTTTTTAGGTTAGTTTGGTTAAAAATAGATGGCACTGGTTTGGATGGGGTTTATTCCATTTACCAGGGCCATCTATTTTTCCAAAAGGCCACCTATGACAGCAACGAGTCTGCTTATGGAAAATCCACGTCTCAGAGCCATGAGTGCAGGCCATGCCAGTGATGTTCCTGGGCCCTCAGCTGCTGCTGGCCATTTGGCAAGACCTCTTCAACGGCGCTCGCAGGCTTGCAACATGTACCAACCTCATGGGTCAAATGCTCCAAAGATATGGACGGCGGTCCATCCATCTTGGATTTTTTACATATCACTACTGGATAGAGTTTGTTTTTTTTTCCATCCCTCTTGGTTTTAAAGAGAACATATCACTATACCGGAAATAGTTTCTCATTTCTTCCTGGGGACTTGAGCAAATGGAGGAGGCAACATGTACCAACTTCATGAGTATGGGTCAAATGTTCGAAATGGACGATAGTCACTTAGTCCATGGCAATCCATGGGCTCCAGTTTTGGGTTTTCCGATGTTTGACCGCCATATTGTTGGTCAACAATTTTAAATTGAGTTAGCTCCTGTCAATCCAGAAAGAGTTTGTGTGACAGGTGCGACTGTGGATGTGCGAAGTCCTGCACCACTTGGAACCAAGCGAGACCAGTGTTTGTTGGCATTTACAGCGGAGTCGACTCATTCCAGGGTTTCGTAGGCGGTGCGTGGATTTCGTCCATCCCACAGTAAGCTACGTTTTCCAGGGCCACGAAATGGGCCAAACCCCGGAGGGGCCGCTGGTTCCTGGTGGTATGCCAGACCGTGTCCATCATTGCGAGGCTGGCGTCTCTCGGCGGATATTTTTTGGGATGGACGGAATCCAAGAATTGGCCCGGACACATCTGCGATAGATCGCTGGGGATGGAGGAATGGATGAAACTTGCAGATGTTTTGGTTGGGATGGATGAAGCCAGCTAAAGCGGGTGCAGGTTTGTTTGTTAATCCGGAGACCATCCGCTTAGACTCCATCCGCTTAGACTTTCAGGGGGATCAGTTGGGAGGGATGAGACCGGATATTATTGAACGAATGAAACGAAGTGTTGTGGATCCACTTGACTATATTTGGACGGATGAAACCAGGGAACTCACTTTCCCAGAGCGAATCGACCTGAGAAACCCCTTTTCGGGTTCCCTAGTCATGGAGTGAAGCTAAAGGAAGATAAAGGAAGGTAACTGGTTTGCAGTACCCCCCCTTGCCCCCCTCTCAGAACGAGTCCATAATTTTTAGTTCTGGGTCCCATCCGGGGCAACTACATCACCTGCGGGTGCAGGATGTTCACTGAGACTTTCAGAGTTAGTCCTCGGATCAGGGTCAACAGGCCACAAAGGCCTCATGAACGTGACCTGGCAGAAATTTTCTTGGAGCTTCTTGGCTGCTTTTCTTGCGTTGACATGAAACCCCCGTTGGGCTGAATGCTTGTTTTGTTTCTTGGTAGTTTTTTTTTTCTTTTCTTTTTTCTTGTCCGCTTGACCAACCTGACCTTTAACCCAGTTCGACAATGTTACTGCACTAATTAGAGATCATGTACGTTGATTTGTTAGCTTTCAGGAGGGGCTCACACCTGGTAATGTTATTCTTCAGTATCATCTTAAGGACATTGATGTTCCAGAGGATCATTTTCAATGCTTAACCTGGGTGTAGAATACCCCGAAGCGGGTTTTGGGTTGCGGTTTGGGAGTAGAGCCCTTGGATTCAGGAGTTTGGCATTTCCTTATTTCCTTTCGAAGTCCCGCTCTATGCGCAATTCAGGGCTGAGCCGTGTCTATTCACAGACGTGCTTGGCTTTGCCGTGGACGAATCGTTTGGAATCAGTGACAGTTCCAAAGAGGTTGGGATATGTTTGGATGGCTTTGGGTAAGATCATGTAGGCGCTACTTTGCAGCTTGGGCCTGGCCTAACCGCCTTGGGAAAGGAAGCTTGAATCACAGGCCGGCGCCGTTTTGTCGGGACCCGAAGGTGACATGTTCTGGCATGTGTGTTGGATTGGAAGCGGCGCTCAATGGGAGTCAGGATTGTGTGAAACCGTTTTGTGGGCGGGCAACGTCTTTATAGATCTTTGCTTGGATCTTTGCACTTGTTCATTTTGGTTGAAACGGCTCGGACTTTTTGAAGAGCCACAAAAGTGAAGACAACCGTTTGCAGATGGGTCGTTGCAGCAACCAAGAAATTTGGCTGTGGGTCAAAAATGGGTACCCAAAATGAAACCCGGTAAATGGAAGGACTAGAACCTGCGGTCCAATTCCTGGTGGTTTCATTTTGACCCATACCCATGTACCAACTTCATGGGTCAAATGTTTTTTCAGGACATGGACGGTAGTCCATCCCTCATTTTTTTCCTGGGGACTGACTTGAGCAAATGGAGGCAGCAACATGTACCAACTTCATGGGTATGGGTCAAATGTTCGAAATGGACGCAGTCACTTAGTCTCCATGGCAATCCATGGGTTCCAGTTTTGGGTTTTCCGAGTAAAAATGCGGAGTAAAAATGCCTAGCACTGCTGAGTGAACTTAGGCTCCTCGCCCTGCTATGCCGGTCTGGCGCGGATGAGCGGTGCTTTATGCTGCGAGTGATGACCAAGCTGGTGGTTTCTTAGACGGAGACGTGCTCACCCGGTATGGTCTAATTTTTCTGCGTTTGTTGGGGGCTCCCAAGCAAACGCATTTCCATGGTCAAAGGTGTTTGCCAAAGCCCCGGCTTGTTTTTTGAGCACATAGCCATTCAGTCCTTTTTTCCAGCTCATGTCTATGTCGTTTCCGGGTCTGTTGGCATACAATCTTTGACGATGGGGGTGTCCAGGCCAACACTCTTGGCGTTTAGATGGAACACCAAAAGGAAGCCAACATTGCGGAGCTCTGTGGATGGACGAAATCCATTTCGCCCCACCTAAGCAACTCCGGCTTCTGATTCGATTCCCCAACGTAAATACCAAGAAGCTTTATGGTTCTTCACTATGGTTGCTGAGGTGGTGCAGCAACCTTGGAAGGATGATTCCCCAAAAGGAATACCAACAAACGTTAATGTTTGTTTGGCGCGAATCCTGGATTTCGCAACCATCCAGAGTAATTTTTGACATGCCCTCCCACCTTTTTCCGCGTTCCGAACCCTAGGTTCGGGTGAGACGGTCCCGGGAACCGGACCAAACCCAAAAAAACGAGAAAAACATCCCGCGAATCCGAGGTTCTCGTGCTGGTGCCCGCCTTCGCGAGCGTGTGCCTGGGGGCGGAGGGGGATCGGATGATGCAGAGGACCACCTTCCTGGCCTTCGACGCCGTCTTTCTGCTCACGCGCCTTGGCCGTTTCTGCGTCTTTCTGGAGGCCACCCCCCCGCCCCCCCCAACAAACAACAAGGAAGCCCAAGCCCCCGAAGCCACCCCCCCCAAAAAAAAAAGAGGCAAGAAGATGGGCGTCTTTTTGGTGGTTGGTCTTCCCTTAAAGTTTTACCCAAAATGGGGGTACCATCACGAAAAGACACTTAGAGACTCCTGCCCTCGCATCTCACTCAGAGCATTGCTCGCTTTGTTTGACGGGTTGGGGCTTGGGGGCTAGGCGAGAACATGCTGTGGATGGACGAAATCTTGCATCACTTGGAAACCATGGGAAACCGTGACGTTTGTTGGTATTTACAGAAGATTCGACTTATTCTATGGTTTCTTAGATTGTTCGACATGGCATTCGCAGCCATCGACAGTATGGGTGTCTTTTTTTTTTGTTTTACCCCGTGGGGGGGCCGGGGGGGGAGGTGCCAGCGGTGCGGGGAGTGCCATCTACCTATTGGGTGGCCTAGGCTGGGCTTTGGCTTGCTGGGCATCCGGGGCACTGCGAAGATGCCCTGCCTCATGCAGCTGCTGCTGGCCAGGGGTCGACCCCTTTGCCACTGGCACCTCGGGCGTGGTTTTTGGGGATCCCCCGGCTAGGTGCCGTTTTTAATCGCGTTTTTTTTGGGGGGAGGGTTCCCCTACTAAAGTAGACGACTGAAACAAAAGGTTGGACTCTTATTCTAGTCTTTCTACTGGAGGACCTAGGCATGTTTAGGGGTCCGCGGCTGATTGCCAAATGTGTGGGTAATAAAGTGGCTTGCTGTCTTTTAGTTTCCCTTTAGGGGGTTGTTCAGCGGGTTCTAACGTCATGTTTACTCGGTTTCCCGGCTAAAACGGGTCAACACTAAAATGGGTCAGCACTACAAGGTTTGTACCCAAATATGCTGGGTTCAATCTGCCTGTGTCCAGGGTTACGCTGGGTTCTGCCTTGTGGTGAGCAATTCCACCGATGCGGGGGCGCGAGCGAAAATCCACGATCCTTTTCTTGGGCATCATAGCAGAACCCCCCAAACTGGCCTCGGTTTTCCTCTTGCTTTCCCCTCAAAGCAAAAGCAAACATGGGTGCCAACTCCAAAAACACGACGAGCCGCCCAGTTGGGTTTGTCACGATCAGTCTGAGCCCATTTCTGAGGGGCATTTCCACGGTTTCCCTCTAAGCTGATGACTGAAAGATGGCAAAAGCTCATGAGGCCAAACGAATCCTCGGCGGCTTCTCTTTGGCCGTCAAACGTGTAACTCAGGATCCCTTTGATTTGTTCCATGCTTGTCGTTGGGACACCTTTTTCCCCATTTTTGCTTATTTGCGGTTTAGCGGTTGCAATCCAAATCCACTCAGCTGCTACACTTTGCGAATTGTTTGCTCCCCAAATCCACCGTCAGCCAAGGTTGGTACCTTGAAAGGGAACCAGAAGGAACAAACGGACTGGATGCGCCTTCTGTGGTTTCCCCGTGTGGCGAGTTGTCTCGTTTTTTAATACTTTTTACTACTCTTTTGCTATCTTACAAGGGTGGATCCACCAAAACCGGATCCGAACCGTCGGGGAACCAGAACATGAAACGAGCTCCATCTTTCGACGCCAGGATGAAGGAAACTGCGGAGTTTCCGCGTGGCTTTTCACACTTTGGAAGATGGCCAGCCAAAAGGCGAGCCTGTGTTGAACGGCTTTTGTTTTTCAAAAGGTCTCCAAGTTCAAGAGCTGCCTCACAACAGGAGAGGGGTATGACCTCACCCTGGTTGAAGTTTCCTTTTATGGCGACAGCTACACTCTGGTAGGTTGCCCCTATGAGTTCCGGTCAAAATCGTAGACTGGTCGGGAGGGACAGTGAAAACTCTCGAAATGTTCTTCCAACGCCACAGGAGTTATTCATTTCCGCAAGTCCCATACGGGAAAGACGTTCTTTGATGGTGGCTTACAGCAATAAATAGAGAAGCTGTTTTATCCATCAATAGATACACATCTAGGTGTATGTATGCTAATGTACACCCCCCCCGCCCAAAAGAAAAGAAAGAAAAGAGTACAAGTCCCAAGAAAATGTCATGGTATTTATAGTACTTGTGGGTGATGTAATTGTGCCCGCATTTGCACATTTGACTGTGACTGTATTCGCCCAGCAAAGCTTCAAAGCACTTTTGAATCTAAGATCAAGATCTTGAATCTTGAATCCAGTATCGGGCACCCAAAACGCTTTAAAGCGTTTTCATGCAGGTAGGGAATCTTGAAGCTTAGATCCTACCGACTTTAGAGCGCTTTGGCTCCTTGCGGGGGCTCCATACTGGATTCAAGATTCAATACCTAGAATCCTGGCAATCTTGAATCTTAGATCCCAACGTGCTTGAAAGCGCTTTTTTGGGGCCCTCGAATTGTTGAATCTTGGATCCCAAAGCGGTTTAAAGCGCTTTAAAGCGTCTGCTGTCAGTCATCCCTGTTTGGGTGTGCATCTTTTCTTCCCTTAGGACTTGTACGCGGTAAATACAGTTGATAGTGGACATTGGATATAGCTTGTTTTACTGACTTGAATCAAGAAATCCACACCTACCCCTGGATATTGAAAAACACCCTTCAAATACCATTGTGCTGCATTTGTAACATTACTGGTGAAGACTACGAAGAAGCAACATAAATACGGACACAGCTTAACCTTAGTCATGTGAGGGAACCTCTCTTGGAAAGCATATGTTTTTGTACTGACATCTTTGAACACTTCAGAGATGTATGTAGGACATATTATGGTTTAGACACTGCGTATTAGTGAATTATTACACTTTGCCTAGGTTCGCCTTTACACTTTACCTAGATCTGCGTCTGATGCTATGTTCAAATAAGCTGTGTTGACATAGGCTTTGCTTATATGTATGAAATGATCCAAACATAATCAAGAGGAGGAATGACACAGACAACCTACAAGAAGGTAATTAGAAACAACTTCTTCATAAATCATTTGCGCACGTCTGCCAAAGTTGAAATGCGCTCACGTTTGGTGACATTTGTCTAAAATGAGCTGACTTCCCTTACATGAGCAGCAAGAGCAGGTTTTGAAAAGCGCGGGGGGCTGCATGTATACATATATATATATATATGTATATATAGAGAGAGTATATATATATATATTCACACACACACATACACGCACATACATACCTTATCAGCAAAAGTTTCTGTCGTTTTGCAAAAAGGCGTCTTCTTGCTGTTGGTGGCGTTTTGAGTCTCGTGGCAGTGTTCTTGCAAGTTTTGGGCACAGCGGTGGCAGCAGGAAATCAGCGGAATTCAGCGGAAGTCGGTTTTAGCATGGCGGAGTGTTTGTTGCGTTTCGGCGTGTTTCTCTTGAGGGCGGCGTTTTGTTGGCGGCAGACATCCTTCTGCGGGAGCCTTTCGACAGAATGTTCCGGCGCCAGTCCAGGAAAAGATAGATTGAATCTATCTTGCCATGTGAATCATGTGAGGTCAATGAGTGGATTCAATCTTGCCATGGTCATTGAGGTCCAGGAAAAGATAGATCTTGCCATGGAACCCAAAATTATCTTTGGTTTTTGAGTGAATCTACTGTGCCATGCGAGGTCCAATGAAGATGGCCACCACAGCCTTGACAGCAGCGAGTGACTATCAAAAAAAGGAGCGCGTTATGCCGGGTTGTACATGTTGATTTCGCCCTTGGGCAATTCAGGGAATCCCCCATTTTCCAATTTTCATAGACGAGAAATGGTAGAATAAACCTCTTTGGAAGGTTGAACCATTGTTCGCTCCTTGCTTCTCCGACTCAGCAGCTTCACGGGAGCGGAAGCCTTTGGTGCATGTTGCGCAGGCCTGTTAGGACTTTAACTTTTTGCCAACCAATGGGTTTTCCACAAAACCACTAAAAGTTAAACTTTTAGCAGGGAAGCAGAAAGCAACCGAGGGTCCGAGCTACTCCAAACGCCCTCTTTTTGGGTGTATGACAACAGCTGATGTCAACCCCCGCCTAAAGAAGAGCCAGTTGCCATGAGGCTCAAGAGCACAGCAGCATCTCAACGTTGATTTCAACAACACGAGTGACTCTCAAAAAACCTCATCCAGGAGTTGCTTTTTGAGATGCATCCCTTTAACCGCATAGATTCCGATTGATTTGGAGCCAGCCCTTTGCTTGCCTCTTTCCACGGTTTGGTTGACAAGAGCACTTGGGTGCGTCATTCTTTGGGAGTACGGTTTTGAGGGGAACCACAAGGAACTCCATTTCTTTAGTGCGTCCGCTAAAAGTTGTCACTGTCACTTGTTTAGCATGCATAAGAAGTTCTTTGTTTGCCCATGGGCAAACCTCAAGAACTCATCTCGGTCTGTGCTCGGGCAAATTTCATTACGCGCCTTCGCGGGACAGTACGGGTCCCGAACATGTACCCCTCATAACATGCCAATTTTGGCGGACCATGGTTCTTTTCGAGCACACTGTGTTTTTCTGAGTAGTTCATCTTGTTTTCCAACAATAAGGATCACTGGACACGGGGAAGTTACCCTTAGAAATATATGCGCAGGTTTCTTTGTTTCTATATCTGCTTTCAAGGCAACGCTCCTCCGGTCAACGAATCACAGCCATGCCTCACGGGGTATCGGTTTTGGGTGGGCCATGTCCTGTCGTTGTGGCATTTAGCTATCCTTCAAGTGGCCCTTTCCTATCGGCATTGGGCAATGTTGTCAGCTCACAGCAATCAGTGACGAAGTTGCGAGTCTAGCTTCGGTTCAACCGAAGTGAAACGCCATGGGGACTCTGCTCAATGCGGCCTATTATCGAGTCTACCGCACAAGCCGGGAAGGGCCCATACACCCCCATAGAAAGGGAGCAGTTGCGGAAAAAAAAGAAGAAGTTTGATTCGCCTCGCACAAGCCCATTCCAATGAATTAGACATGTATTAAACTTCTTGTGATGCTGTGGAACAAATCCACGCCACGCACCAGTTGGAATGGATGAAACGCTCAAAAGCAAGCACCAACTGCTGCAAAATGGATTTTGTCCAATCCTAGTTGGAATGGATGAAACCCTAAAAGCATGGGGTAAACGTGGGTAAACCACCTACCAACCGGTGGCGACACGGATTTCGTCCACTCACCGACTCCAACTTGTGACCGACTTGGGTCTCGGCCAGGCGCGTGAGCCGAAGCTTCTCGCAGTCTCAGGGATTCTCTCGGGAGAAAAAGGCCGCATGCCGAAGCACGTCCTTTTTGGACCGCTTTTAAAGGCGGGTGCAAAAAGCATGGCCCAAAAAGGACGCAGTTTTCACAACCTCCATGTGGCGGAACCCCCCAACGCAGAGTGAAGAGAGAGAAAAGAAGAAGCAGCAAGTCAGTGGTGAGAGGGGTTCAAGCAACCAACAGTAGAATTAATGATGCGGAATGGGGATCAGCCTTGAGGATGTTGAGATGAATGTAAGTGACAGCCAAACCCCCTTCCTCCCACTACCAGATCCATTGCAGCGATGCGTTGTTTGATTTGTCAGCAGTTTGTTGGGTGTGGAATTCAAGATTACTAGCACCTTGAATTTGATAGCATTCCTTGAATGGATCCACCACCTGTTACGCATATATACGCATATCCTTGTTTCCTTAGGATGATGATTCCTTACAGAGGAGATGCTTGACCTCGGAAAACCAGGTTGCTCAAATTGTTCAACGTGGGTCTTTGGACACTATTTGCTCTAAAGGGATTGATACTTGCGAGTGGGGATGCCGGGAATACTTCCTTCCTTATTATCAACTTTTCGCACATTTAGGAGAGGAGAGGGACTGGCAACACTCTCCAGACCACCTTTGTTCAGGGTCCCAAGCAAAGGCACGTGTTCAGAAGACCTAACCTGACTCAACAACCTTGAGTTCAGTCATCGTGGACACAACACATTGTGAACCATTGTACAAGTAATTAAGTAATACGGTAAGAACGACATGCTTGGGTCCTTGCACGTGGGGTTGCCAACAGCTTGCACAGTGGAAGCAGTTTGCAATGAGGTAAGCAAGTCAAAGTGTGGGGTCACAGGAGGACATTCACGAACATGGAGGAGTCTCCGGAACAAGCGCCTGACTTCCCTGTGCACTAGTGGACAGTCAACACTTGGATCAAGCACCGCTCAAATGGTCTTCCAAATGGGAACTCATCACATAGAGTTCTCTTGTCACCCAGCCCAAAGAAGCTGACTTGCGACGCCCTTCAGAGGAGCTTGATCTTGCCCTGAGCATCAAATTTGGAGTAAAAAGCGTGAAGCCAAGCACTTAAAAGAAGTCCCTGGTCTTGATAAGATGAATCGAGTTTTCCTCTTTGGCGAGCCAATCTTGAGGTGAAAAGCCAAACTCCAAGGTCCTTTACTTGAATATCTCGACTTTGAAGTTGGGTGAAGTTAGATGGCACAAGCGCCCCATGAATCTAGGGGCTGATGCCATTTCCATTCTTTTCAACCATCGTTCTTTTCAATCACCAGCCGTTTTCAACCTGGATTTCTGGAGGTTTTCTGGAAAGAAGGATCCCTGGAAAGAATGGAAATGGAAGGTACGCTTAGAATTAAAGTTTTGCCTTTTTACTTCTGGACACAAAGGGAATAGTGCCATCTACTTCCACTCTAGCGAAGTTGCGCACGCAGTCTCGTGTGCAGAGTGCGCCGTCAAGTGTATGGCCCAGAGCGGAAGGGCGTTTTGATCAGCGGCTGACAGAACGCAAAGCTCGAATGGGACACTTGGCTCGTAAGAAGCGACCTGTGTCTGTATGTGTCTGTGTCTGTATTTTTGATGGGTACCGTGCTTGGGATCCTCAAACAAGAGGATTGGTAAAAAAGTCTGCCAGTTTTCTATGGTATCAAAGCCAGGCTTTACATCATTCACCACAGTCCACCCAGCGAATTGGTCGTAGCAAATAGTCCAAGGGAAACAGTGGGGTCAATTTAGGGCGTCAAGAGGTAGACCTTCGAGGGAAAGTCGCGCGAATTTAGGTGAGATCCAGCAGTTTCGCGATTTGACCGTCAAGGTGGAAGGAGGTGGGCACAAGTTTGCTTCAACGGTAGTCCTGAAGAATTGAGTTTCCAACAAATCCAGGAATGATTGTGCATACCCCTTTTACATACCCTGTACCCAAAAGGCTCGCTGATGTTCATACCCCTCTACCCAAAAGGGGGGCATATACACATACTTCCACCCTTAGAACACAGGGAATGATGAGTTTGAAAAGATTGCTTTGATTGCTGTCTCGGCTTCTCCTTGTTGCTCATTCTGTGTAAACACTTGTTGGGATATTTCCTGTGCGACTCCTCGCGTTTATGCAGTCGTGGTTCAAGCATGTTTCAACTTGGCCCTGTAGCCCCCCCACCCCCCCGGGCCGACGAATCCCCCCGAAACTCGGTTGGCTGTGTCCGCGTTTCGAGAGCAGTGGGGTAGTGCTTATTGCTTGGAAAAGGGGACGGCAAATAAAGGGTCAGCATAGGGTCTGCAACCAAGCATGTTAGTATATGTTTCTTAATTGTACTGTTTAGGTTGAAAATGGTATTGCTGTAGCACTACTCAGTGCTGGCCCACAATTGATTTGGTCTTGGTTTGGTGCTGCCATGGACTCACTTCTGCCTTTCTCATCTCAGGTAGGGATGCTCTTCAAGCACTTTTCTGTAATCCCTTCTCATCCAACCACTATCCGATGTTGCCTCTTGGGTGTGTGAAGGAAAAAGGGGAAGCGCCCGTTGCCCAGCATCTTATCAGTTGCGCAGGAATCGAATGGCTTTCTTTAGGTCATTTTTCAAAATCAGCCAAGCATGACTCGAGAGCAGCAGGTACTGCTGAATCTGCTTCTCCTTTGCTAGGTCCCCCAGTAGTGCCCTTTTTCCCTTTTTTGGGGGAGGGTTCCCCTACTAAAATAGACTACAGAAAAAATGGTACCCTTATTCTAACCTCTCTGCTGGAGGACCTAGTTTAGGATGAACAGAGTCTTCAAGTCTGGTTCTGTTCGCAATCTGCTTAGATGGCGTTTGCGCATTTGCCGACGTTTTTTCTTCTTCCGCGACCTCGCGGCTCCACAAGTTTCACGTCAGGTTCTTACGTTTAGTTTATGGTGTAAAAGCGTCCGAGGCCGAGCCTAGCAGCTCTTCGCTGCCAGGCGGGCGCCCGGTACAAAGGGCGCGAGAGAGGCTCACTGAGGGCCGTTTCGGGCTTTGGCCACTCTTGGTTGGGACCAGACAAAGTTGGGAACTTTTGCTGGCACATCCACTCGTGAGGTCTGGTGGTGAGACCGGTTTGGTTTTTTGGGACTGTTTTTGCATCAGCCAAGTGACATGTTCCGTTTAGGTCGCGTCCAAAGTCCAAGGACCGGGGACCAAATCATGGATTCCGTTCTCCATCAATGCCGGCAATGTTGCGCAATCTCGGGCCCGATGAAGGTCCCTTCAAAAGGGTTTTGGAGTTCTGGCAAGTGTATGCACGGACCCAACACCGGCATGAGCTAGCATCGCTGTGTTGACTGGGGAAACCCGTGTGACATGGTTTGGTTTGTCTTCATCTTCTTCACAGATTATCAATCGCACGAATGTGAAGTCTGTTTTTCAGCCATCCTGCATTGCTGACCAGTTCGATTCGATTGATTCAAGGTTTCGATCTGGCTAGTTGATTTCATGCAGCTTGCGTTTGGTTCTATTGGCTATCTCCACTTTGGGAAATCACCGTTTGCGGTATTTACCGGGGAATCGAATCATTCCGGCGTTTCTTAGGTGCCACCCACAGTATCATTTGGCAGGCATGGCGTGAATACACGCTCCTTGAAGCGAAGCGGGTGTGCACATCCGTCGAACTCGCGCCGTGAACCGGGAGGCTGACTCACACACCACCGACCAGTGCTTGCAAGGCATGCGTTGGTCTTATCGAACACCCCCCAGACTGGGCAATTTCCCTCCGAAGTCGCCCCAAAAGTTGGTAGCCTCAAGACCACATCGGCCTTTATGCCACGCCCAAATTGTTTCGGGCACGGTAGGACCAAATCATCCCCTCCTAGGTTCCCCAGCTAGGTGCTCTTTCTCACCCCTTTTTTGGTTGGGAGGGTTCCCCTACTAAAATAGACAAAGCAGGAAAAAACAATCGGGTACCAGTACCAACTTATTCTAAGCTCTCAAATCTGGAGGACCTAGCCTCAACTCCCGCCCGAACCAGCCCCCTTTTCCCCCCCGGTCAGGATCCAGGTCAGTCCACCATGGCAGAGGAGCGCTCGATACGCGATACGTGCACGGGGCGGTTTTAATGTTTGTTGGAGTTTCAGTGGAGCATGTCATTTGTCCTTTTGTGAAGAGTTTCATTTGTCATTTCACTGGATTCCCTTCCAAATCAATATATATATATGGGGGTTGATCAAAAGGTCCTTGCAAGGAGTTATGTATTCGGTGACCATTAATCTTGGCGTAAATTCCTCCGCGAAAGATCGGCGATGGAGTTCGCGAAAGAAACTTATTTTTTCGCGAAAGATTCCGCGTTGGATTCTTGGAGGCATGCCTGTGCACTTCATATTTGCAGACCCCGCTCCCTTGTAGATAGGGAGATACGCAGCACCTACACTTGCAGTATTGATTTCCTGCCTGTGTTGGGAATGGTGCAAATCAATAACGTTGGCTGGGCTATTTTGGAGCAAGTTTCGCGAAAGATCCGCGAAAGACCGGCGAAAGGCCAGGGAGCTTGTTGCAAGGTTCCGCGCATCGCCGGCAAGCGCAAGTGGCAAGGGCGAATGACGGTGACTGCTCGCACTTAGCACTACGTACTGCACGCAAGTGAACTGCGGCCACCGTGTTTGCAAGCATAACTGCAGCAGTCACAATGGCTCCAGAGCGCACGCTGCAAACAAAAGGGCGTTGCGATGGAGTCGCGAAAGATTCGCGAAAGAAACTTTTTTTCTCGCGAAGATGGCGTTTTCCGGAAACAGGAATATTGGTCAACTGCCATATATATGTATATATATGGCCATGAATGTTAAACCACCTCAAAAGTGATTGGTGGACATGAATCCCCACCGAAATGATGTCCACCAAAGGGTCCCATATTGAAATTTGTAGCCATATATATATATTGTTCTTCCGCAGGGAGAAGTCCAATTCAGATAGAGAGCCATAGGGGAGGCATGAGAGCACGGTCCTTGGTCCAGAAGATGGCCGCATCAACCAGTTGGGCTGCAATGGCTTCCCTTGCAAGAGACTTGAATCAGTATGTGAATTAGAGGTGGTCGCCCTTTCATTTTTTTAGGGTATTGCTTTTGACTCAAAATTGTGAGTTCCAACCCCTTTGGCCCATTGGTGGTACACACATGTAACCCTGCAGGGTCCCGAAAAAGCATTTGATAACATGGGTGTAGCGAGAGTTCCCTTTGCTGCGATTTCAAGCAAATGTGTTGTCCGCTTCCGATTTTACCAAGGGCGGTCTTCCAAGGGCCGTCTTCCACCCACGTTGAATGGGAGCAGCCCCTGGATCTTTTTCGTCAGGACAGGTCGGTGCAACAGATGCAGACCACGGCAACGAGGCGCCATGGACCGAGCTGCACGCCCGCACGCACACGAGTCCCTTCATTTGAAGGGACCAACGAGTGGTGGTGAAAACAATTGTGTCACGTGTAAACAGGTGGGTGACCCAACCCTCAGTGAACCAAGCACAAAATCTTGGTACTGGAACTTGCGACCATTGAATTGAGCTTCAACTTGCCCAAATGCTTGCTTCTTCAAACTACTGCTCCCGTATATCTTTCGCAGTTTCAAGGGGTCATTTGGAACTAGGTGTCATTTCTTGGAATCGTCGTTCAGGCCAAACCCATGGGCTCCGATGATGGCTTTGGTTGGATTTGACGTATCCCCCAACCTCGCTTTGATTTGAGCCCAAGATCTTATTGTCTTGGTGGTTCCCACCGATCTCCTTAGGTTTTAGGTTTTTCGGGCCATTCAGGCCAAACCCATAGGCTCCGATGATGGCTTCGGTTGGATTTGACGTACCCCAACCTCGCTTTGATTTGCGCCCAAGAGCTTATTGTCTTGGTGGTTCCCACCGATCTCCTTAGGTTTTAGGTTTTTCGGGCCGTTCAGGCCAAACCCATAGGCTCCGATGATGGCTTCAGTTGGATTTGACGTATCCCCCAACCTTGCTTTGATTGGAGCCCAAGATCTTGGTGTCTTGGTGGTTCCCAGCAATCTCCCCAGGTCTTTAGTTGGTTTAGTCCATTTCACCCACTGAAAGTGATTCACTTTCAGCAAAGGATCGGAAAAACAGCCCAGCCCAGGGGGCTTTGCGGGTGAAGCCTGGGTTGCGTAGGTTCTTGCAGAGCTCTCCGGGCTTTGCGGAGAAGCTGGTCTCAAACAAGAACCCAAGGCGCTGGATGCGAGTGCCGGGTGTTTGCGCTTGACGCGGTCGTCAGCGCCGGGTGTTTCCGCGAAGCGGGTTTTTTGCACGACATATGCGACCTACCTGGCTGAGTATCCCAGGTCATTACTTGGATGCTCCGACTTGAGAATCATGGTGAAAGAAACGAAGCCCAGTTACACCAGTAAACATCCTATATCCCTACCATACGGAATACGTGCTCTTTTGATCGGTTCGCTTGGTTAGAACTAGATGGGTTCCACTGGTTCAGATAGGCTTTATGCCCCATGTAGAAGGGTCATCTCTATTTGTCCAAAAAGCACCAATGATCCCTACTTGAGGTCATGAATCTTGCTTCAGGCAGTTTAGTGGGCAGTATCTTTGGTAGCTCACTCCTGGCTCTATGAAGAAAGTGGGTTTGATCCATGGCTATGTGCAACTGTGGGTACAACATATATACTACATGGGTTGCACATCCCAGGGTTTGTGTTATCCTGTTTTTTGTTTTCGATTTCACCGATGAGCAACAGAGAAGTGGAGGAAAATGGGATGCCGAAGAATGGTTTGCCGTCCAACTAGCAATATTGTTCTTCTCACTTCCTGAGTTCGCGGAGTTTAAATGAGTTTAATATGGGGAAGACCATTTTAGTGGCAAGCAAAAAGTGAGGTTGTTTTGTGGCCAGTCCACTCAATCGGAAGTGAGTCAGGGTTGTTTTGGATGCCATGGATCCACAACCTTTTCTGCTTCACTTAGGCCCCTTAGGGGGTCCAAGGCGGAGGCTGGGCTTGCTTCGGGTCGAAGCCAAAGGATTCCTGGCACCAACCAATCCCGGGTTGAGCCTTCTTTGAGGCGTAGTCAAGAGGCACCTCCACATTTCAGTTGCCCAAACCGAATCGACCTTTTAACCTTTTGGTGTTCCTAGTTTGGTCTATTTTTAGTAAAGGTCTCAAAAGGTTAACCTTTTGTTTCTGGGTCCTTCGGGCAACTAAGACATTTCAGGCCCTTTCGAAAGTGTTGCTTGGTTTATGGCGAAAGTCCGAAGGGTTCCAGCATCTCACTTTCCAAGTTTCTGGACTGTTTGCTTTTGTGGGAATACCAGCTTATCAGGAATCTCTTAGTTGGTGGTTTGGACTGGTGGTTTCTAGAATCTCTGGCTTTTGTAGAGGGTAAATGGGAACCCTTGCTTAGCCACCAAACCACCACAAATGGAGGGAAGCTGCATTTGGTGGCAAACAGCAAGTCCAAGGACTTTCTTTGGCTCCGAGTGAGTAATTCGCCCGATCTCCGATCTCGAGACCGATGCAGTTCTTGGCAGGGTCAGCACCAAGGGCGATGACCGGGATAACATGATCGCGGCGCGGCAGCCTTGTTGAGACGGCGTTGTTTGTGGGTGTTTTCGTGTCTCTTAGTTCCCAAAGTAGCCAATGGTTCCCGTCACCTTCCGAAAATCGGACATGATCGCGGCGCGGCGGTCTTGTCGACATGAGCCAATATCTACCGTCATCTTCCCAACATCGGGATGGCATCGGGGACGCTCACCAAAAGACGTCATTCGGAAATGGGAGGGGGTAACTCACCAAGTTCCCATGTCCTAGGGGGGCACGTTCTTCCCGTGGCTAAAACACCATTATGGATGGGGGGGCCCCCTCAGTGGTGTTCAAAGCGAACCCAAGGACACGACAAGTATTTTTGATACCGATGTGTGTGGAGAACCCAACAAGAGCAACAGGCAGCCCGTCATTTGGGGAGAACCCCAGAAAACCAGTTTTGTCCTGCTCCTAAGTTGGTTCTTCGATCTGGGAAAGCCCACTTTCACCCTTCTAGGTCTTTATAAAGGTTGCCTCAGATAGAAATGAAGGGATCCCGGCCGGGGTTCCCCAGTAACTAGCAAACAGCTTTCTTGCAGGGGGTCAGAGAGCATGCCACATATTGTTGCATTTCTGAATGCGGCTGCTCCATTGTGTCTTGGGCCTGTACACAAGCCCAGTACAAATACACGCTTACAAACGGTGATTTTGCCTGGCCCCTGTTTTGTCATGTGCCCAGGAGGATTTGCCTTTCGCAAACTGGTTGTACACATGTGGTGCGTCGACTTCACGCGAGACAGGTTGACTTGACCCCGCTGCCAAGTAGCATCTCACATCTTTGCCCTTTGCATGAATGTGCGCCCCTAGTTGTGGGAGCCTCCTTTTTGGAAGTGTTGAAAGGACACCTAAACTCACAGTTGAACAACTGACCTCATTGTGCTGCTTTCTCACGAAACAGAAGGAGGCCCAAGAAGCGTCGGGTGTGGCGCCCTGCTTAAAACAACTTTCGGCTTGGTAGGGGCGGTATAGACCTCCTAGGGGGTTAGACACTCATTGTAGCGGGACACCATGACATCCTCGGAAGGTTTGACCACTTGCCGGCCGGGTTCCCCGGGTTCCCCATGTATTTGTTGCAAAGATTAGGGTATCCTCAAAATCCCAAGGAGTCTCCCGCACCAAACCTCGGGGGGGGGGGGATCCCCCAATTTTTGGAGGATCGGCAGAGCTGTGGTTGGGGTGGTCTATGGCTTTGTTGGGAAAGACATGGGACGCACCTGAGGTAGTTGTTAAATGCTAGGACTCGCTACGTTTCCTGCGTAGAGGAACCCAAAACCATTTTCAGTGAGAAACACTCATATGGGGGGTGTCTTTTTTAGCCCCCCCCCCCCCCGCCAAACAGTGGATTTCCCGATGGTTCCCTTTAAAACGCACCCAAAAGGGGGCTTCCCCCAAAAGAGAGACGCTCACCCATATTTCGGACTCTCTGCCAGGAGCTGCAAAAGCAGCTAGATGAGGAGAAGAACAAGAACCGCACGCTGGAGGATCAGCCGGACGCTCCAGAAGAAGGGATCTTCAGAAGTGAACTCCAAGGAGGATCCCTCTAGAAACATGGTGTTTGATGTTTCACGTCAATCTGCGGCGAAGTCGTCCTTGAGTTGGGTACTGGTGAAATTTGGGGACCCTACGTGATTGTATTGTTTGTTTGTTGCTTCCTCCTCCTCCTCCTCGGTTAATTTTGTTATGTTGTCTAGGTCCCCCAGTAGTGCCCTGTTACCCTTTTTGGGGGGAGGGTTCCCCTACTAAAATAGACTACAGAAAAAGGGTACCCTTATTCTAACCTCTCTACTGGAGGACCTAGTTGTTCTTGCTGTTTGTTTGGTGATGTTAGCTTCGGAGTTGGAGGAATCCCGGAGCCACGCCCACAAACCACAATACTCAAGTTGAGCCCCTTAAAAGAGCACGCCTATGTATCCGTGTCCAGGTCGCCAATTCAAACCACGGGTTGCTTGATCCCCAAGCCCTTCCCAGAGGTTGGATGAGTCATTTGTTTGTGCATGGTTGTTGTTGGGAATTAATTTACTTTTTTTGCTTATCGTGGTTTAGTGGGAAATCCCCACTTAACTGCTAAAGATGCTAAAGTTTAAATGTTTGCTCGGGAGAAGTCACTACATAAGATAGAAAACAAACAACAACAAGTGCCACTCAACCCGTCCCGGTCAGGGTTAGGTGTTTCGCCATCATTGTGAGATAGGGGGGACTCATTCCCAACCCCACGGAAAACCATGGTGAAGTAACTACTTGCTTAGCAAGTAGGTTGGGCATTCAAGTACGATTGGGCACCTCATAGAATGTACAGGGAGGAGGTTCTGTATGCTTTCTAGCTTTTGGCACGTTTGTTAATGCGGCCCTCGAGGAATACATATATATATATATATGTTATTAGTATGCAGTGGATCCCTGTTCTGTAAGTATCCCTGGAAAGTGTTTCTCTTCCGCTTTCTTTGGATAAAGAACAACCATTTCGCCTCCGACAATCATGGAAGCCGGCAAGAGTGCTTTGGAAGACTATCCTTATGGGGAAGCCCCGCCGTCCACTTCGGTCATTGTCGGACAGTGAGTAATTTGTTGAATGGACTGTAGGTGCTCGTTTTGGGTGTTCTGTTGATCTGCAGGGGAGAATTCAGGTGTTGAGCTGAGGTACAAGCATCGCGTCGCCTCCTTTGCCACGCGCTCAGCGAGTGTTAGCGGCTCGCTGCTGGAGGGAGATAGATCCGAGGAGGGTATGTTTGGAAGGTGTGATTGGGGCTCCCTCCGCACACACCCGTCGTTACGATTGCAGGTGAAGCGAGAGAAAGCCACGATGCGACTCGGGCAGCAGTGAATGATCTGAGTGCATCACTCCAAGGAATGGCCATGTTGAAGTGTGAAGTACAAGGAACCCTGTTAACCTGAGCAACTGAGAATTCTTAGCGCCGTTCTCCCTGTTCTTTTCATCCATCGTTCCTTTGGCAAAGCACAACCCTTCTGTGGGTGGCTCAGACAAGTTTTCGGAAAGAAGGATTCCTGGAAAGGAGCGAAGTGCTGTCTGACTTCCCCAGTTTCTGAACTTCAAGCTTTTCGGGAAGGTCATGTTCATGGCACACAAGAAGTGGTGACTTGGTCCGACCAATTTGCTCACGAAGTGAGCAGCTGATGCGGTACAGTTGCTTTTTTGTTTGTTGTGTGTTTATAGGCACGCAGATACGCCGTTTACCTTGAATTCATTCCCATATCCCCAACCCCAAGATTGAAATGCGGGTGACCCCCTGGACATGGTTGTTGTTGGGAAACATTTCCCATTTCTGCTTATTGTGGTTTAGTGGTTGAAATCCAGCAACTGAATTGCAAAACAATGATAATTTTTGCTCCCCTTCCAACGTCAACCAAGCTAAGGTGGTTTCAAACTTCCCGGGCCATCAGGGCCTTTCGAAGGTAATGTTAACCCCGGATTAAGCAGAACCCCTGGTGGATCAATAGGGGGGTGTCCCCGGAATAAGCAGAACCCCCTTCCAACGTCAACCAAGTGGAATTGAAAGTATGGTTTTTCCTTTTCTAATTACAACCCAGCGGCGTGGCAATTGGACCTTCTGCTAAAGGTCGGGAGGGCATATTCCCATTTTTCTCGGTGGTTCCCAGCCATCCCCTTAGTTTGTTTGTTTTGTTTTTTCTTTTTAGGGTTCAGTGGGGGTTTCACTTTAACCCACTAAAAGTTACAGAGAAGGAGTTGTCATGGCGCAATAGTTTGAGCACGTGTCATGTTTGAACCGGTGGTTTTCTTGCAGGGGATTTGACAACGGACAGCCCAGATTTGATTTGCGAGGAACAAGATCGAGGCGCTCGAAAAGCGCTTACTGGAGGGTGCCGAGAATGACGAGCACAGCTCCTCGGCGACAGGGAGCGACGGACACGAGTTGGACTCTTTGAGGGGTGTGACTTGACACAGGGGACCCAGTTGCCCAGTGGGTTGCTTCCTTTGTTCAACTTGTTGTTGGGTAAGGGTTCCCTTTAGAGTCAACCAACCAACAATGGATGACCTTTTTTCCTATGGAACTCCGCTGTGCATCTGAGCCTAGACCCTTTCAAAGGACCTCACAAGGGAAAAGAAAGCCAGTCTGTCCAAACGAAAAGCAGAAAAGCCGCGGCAACCGATGTAACAGTTCCTCTTCAGGGAACACCGTGGGACCCACATGTCGCCACGCTGGCGTTTTGAGGCAAGCGGATGGAGGCGATCGGGAACATGCACAGAAGTGCCGGGAGCTCGGTGGCAATTTCGCTAAGGGTTTCCAGATCGCGGCCGGGGAAAAAGTTTGAGGATGTCACTTGCTTCCCTTTGGCAGTCTACTTGCCCTTAGCTTGGGGGTTCCCAGCAGTCCGTTTCCTTAGGTTTTTGATGTTTTTTAGTTGGTTGCGCGGTTGGGTTCCATGTAACCTGCTAAAAGTTAAACAGCTAGGGGATCAGAAAACGGACCGCCCAGTTCGGCTGAGAGGACACGCCACTTTCCCACGGCCCCTCAGCTATGGGTGAGTGCATACACTCACTTCATCTGACTTCCTGAGTTGAAGATCATTTCAGTGGCAAATGGCCGTGTGTCAACATGGTCAACTCCAATGGGATCCCATTTTGGGGTAGGTGCAACACCCATTATAGAACCTATTTTGAAGGGGATTGGGATGTTCGCTGGGGGTACGATTTGGATTTTGACCCATGGCCAAATAAACAGTTTAGACTTTGTTTGGCCAATCCACTCAGGAAGTCAGGGAGTGTGTATAGCTGACTTCATTTGCCAGAGCCTGCACAAGGATATGGCCACACTGTAGACATGTCTAGTCTTACATTTTGAGAGCACAAAACACATGCAGGATGCTTCGCTGCGTGTCTATGGCAACTGCTTTTGCGCAGGGATTGGAAAGCAAAGGCAGAGAAATGATTCGAAGAGGTTCCGAGCATCAAGTCCAAGTCTGAAACTTTCTGAACCCTTTTTGGGTTGGGCATCATTTCATGGGCGTGTAGGGGAATCGGGCTGGTTTTTTGTCTGTAAATCGGGGAAGACCATTCATAAACGGTGTCCATTTCGCTTCATTTGTTCGAACCTGTTAAACAGTTGGTTCCCCCAGTGCTCAAGGTCACAACTCCCAACGCGACACCGTCACAGGTGTACCAGAGGCCCAAGAGCCCTCGTCTTAAGTAAGGGGCTCTCCTAGCTGCAGGTTTCGATCCCTCAGGCCTAAACCAGCTCCGGTTTTTAAGGAGTCTGCCTTACGATGTTTAGTGGTTGGATTTGATATATAAAAACTTTAAATTGTTTCAATAAGTTTCGACAGTTTTGTTTTTCATTTAGGGCTTCGCCCTTTGGGATAAAACAACAAGAGAGAACAAGGGATGTCACCAGGTAATCACTGGCCTGGAGTGCATCCAGACCAATACCGCCAAGATCCTTCAGGCCTTGCTGTCAAGAGTTTTAGGCGCAGAAAACTGCAAACTGCCACCATGCCTTGAGCTTGGTTTTTTAGATTGAATGTTTTCCCCAAAAGGCGTATACAAATGATTGAGTTTTCTTCGGTTTTTCATGAACATGTCAGCCTAAAGAAGAGTGCCCTCAAGTCACACCTGCACAAATTCCATCCCTTCCTTCCCTAGCTTATGGTTTCCCCATATAGATCGTCAAAGCGCTTGTTGTGGGGAAACTCGGAAGATTGGCTTATACGGGAGTTGGGATCTTATTGCTTTTGGCTTCCTTGCATTCCTTGTTTGCAGGTCAGTTTGGAAAACCTTGGTCTTTTATTGAATGAAATCCGGATTCTTCAAGGTGGGAGCTTTTGTGCAATCGTCTCATTCACTGCGAATCAACATGGAATGTCCTGCCAATCAGCATGGAACCCACAAAGCAGATTCCTTAAGTCCAAAGCTGGCAGGTTTTGTGTTCCATGTTGATCTGGACAGTCCTTCTTCCACCTCGCTATGGCATGGGAACACACGGGCTCCGGAATGTTTCCGCGCAGCAAACCCAATAATCGAAGAGCAGAAGCTTGGGCGCATGTTTCCTTTGCTTATCGTCGAATAGTTGTCTTTCCTAGGGTCGTTGCAGAAATGAACGTTTGTGTTTCAACAGGGTTCCACCTAGAAGGGTTCTTTGAATTCTGTGTTTCACCATGACCATTTTGGATGTTCTTAGGACACAACAGTAGGCAAAGGTCTCTTGAAATCCTCAAATCACAGTCAAAACACAGTTCACTCCTCTTAGGAATCAGAGAGCCGTGGCATTTGTGGTGCTGCCCCTGCAAACGTGGGTCTACCCAGCGGAGACATAGTGACCCTTCCCAATTTCGTAACATGGGACCCAGAGACCATCTTAGTCAGTGGTAACTTCCCCATTCTTACCAGGGATCTTCTTTGGCCAAGTCAGGGAAAGCGGTATTTGTTTAACACGAAAGACGTTGGAACCAAATGGGGAATCGGCTCTGCAACCATCATTGTCAGAGCAATGTTCCAGCAGATATCATCTTGAGATTGTCGCACAATGTTGGCATCTTCTCCTAAAATTGGTGGCTTCCTTTTGGTTTCCCTTTAAATCAGCTTTACAAAACCTACCCTCAAAGAAGACACGCATACCTTCTTTTCTGACATCTACTGAAGGGTCCCTAAAGTCATGGGTGTATTTTCTTTGGAAACCCGGGTGATTTGACAGGTTCTCACTCCACGAGGCTTTCTGGATGTCATTGTTTTTTGGGGGGAAGGCACATGAGGCAAGCGCCTCACGTCGTGGCACCTGAAGGGAAGTCCGAAGACTGTTTTGCTAAGGGCCGTGTTGGCTGGGTGGGAGGGTGGGTGGTTGGTTGGGATGCTGCTTGCTTGCTTGCTTGCTTGCTTGCTTGCTTGCTTGCTTGCTTGCTTGCTTGCTTGCTTGCTTGCTTGCTTGCTTGCTTGCTTGCTTGCTTGCTTCCTTCCTTGCTTGCTTGCTTGCTTGCTTGCTTGCTTGCTTGCTTGCTTGCTTGCTTGCTTGCTTGCTTGCTTGCTTCCTTGGTTGCTTTGGTTGTTTGGTTGTTTGGTTGTTTGGTTGCTTTGTGAGTTCCATGCTTGGATGATGCTTGGATGCTCGCCAGGATCAGGAGAAGGACCTCATGAGGGCCTTCCGTGCGCGGCTTCAGGAGGTTTCCAAGGACCCTCAGTGACTTCTCCAGCAACGCGAAAGCCCATGACATGCTTCATCTTGGAATATTCTTTGCTTTCAGATTTTGGATTTATTGTAGAATGCCGGAAGCGATGATGGAAAGCGACTTTGTCGCTGGAGTTGTGCGGCAGAGCGTTTTTGCGCAAGAAATGCGCAACAGTGACGACTTTTGCGGTTGGATTTTAGCAGTTTGTGCACCTGTTACATAATATGCTGGTGATGCTGGGAATGTTGGTGATGCTGTGTGATGTGGCCTGGTGATGCTGGAGATTCTGGGTGGTGATACCAGGGATGCTGGCTGGTGATGCCAGCGTGTTCTGTTGGTATTACTTTTTTTTCGACCCGTATCCCTTGGAACAGCTCAAACATCTGAACATCGACAAATAAAAAAAGAACACCACTCCAACTCTACTCTCCGATTACCTGGGTTATGATGACGGCACCCGACTTTGTCGCTGGAGTTGTGGGGGAAAGCAAAGTCGTCCCGAGATTAAATTTGCAGAGCGTTGTTTGGGCAAAATCACGCTAGACTGCACCCAACTTCATGTTGTTTGATGTTGTTGTTGGTTCTGATTCTGGCAGCTTTCTAACTGCCAGCGCCTGCTTCCCTTGCTTCCCTTGCCTTCCCATAGTTTCCCTTGCTTTCACTTTTTCCCTTTGCTTCCGATTTGCCCATCATCTAGTTTTTCCTTTCATCATCCTGTTGCTCCTTTTCCCAACCCTTGAAATCCCTGCGGTTGCAAGATTCCATGGGAAGGAGAGTTAAGAGTTAAGCCGTGCCTGGGCGATCCGCGAGCTGGGTGAATAGCGTTCGCAGTTACCACTTTGGGACACTAACCACTTGTCTAACCTTCCAACAATTCCACGAGCTTGAGCAGAGACAAGCAAATTATGGAGGAAGGGCCATCTCTTTCCCATCTATTTTGTTCCTTGAGTTCTCCTTTTGCCACAGGTCACAGCAGTCGCTTTCCATTATTTCCTGGCTGGTTTGCAGCTGGTCTCCTTGGGCTTCCATTTCCAGCGTTGAGCGACACAGGATTGCTCCATCAAGTCACAATGACGTCAGGGTAAGCCTTAAGCAAGGCTTCTGCACTCCAGACGGATTCTCGGATTCTCTCTGAGGTCAATCTGCTAAAGGCTAGGGCAAGACCACCTTTGTTTGCTCATTGTGGTTTAGTGGTTGAACTCCCCACTTAACTGCTCAAATTTGAATTTTTGATCCCCTTCCAACATCAACCAAGTTTTGGGCAGGCCATGTTGGTGGAGAACAAAAAGTTTGGTTACCCTCCGCCAGACTAACATGGAAGCTTCCAGGAACCCCTTGAAAGTCTTGGTTCCATGTACAGAGGCCTTCTGGGAGCTTCCATGTTGGTCTGAAACGCTTAAAAAAAATAAAAAAAGAAAAAAAATAGAAAAAAAACACCCGGGAAGTCCGGGGAGCCCGTTTTCAACGACTTTCCCAGGATCTCGAGGCTCAACGCAGCCGGAACGGCGAGCACTCCACCGAGCGGGGGCGCCCCATGCGCCGAGGGGCTCCAGGGCCGGTGGCCGCGATGTTGGGGGAACTGGCGGGTTAAAGCGAACAGGAGCGAAGATGGAGGGATTCCAAGAGTGGGGGCCGTTTTTTTGTTGGGGGCCCCAAACAAGTTGGTGACAAGTTGTATTCCAAAAGTCAGGGGCGTCGTTTTTCGGGGGGCCCCCAACAAATTATATTGATTCCAAAACGGAGGGGGGGGGGGTCGTTTGTTCAACAAATTAGATTGTGATTCTTCTTTTGGTTTCCTTTCAAAACCATGGAACAAAATGTACCTGCAAATAAAGACACACCCAAAGCAGTGAAGACAAAGCCACTTTTCTGACAGCCTTCTGAGATGCACGAGCTGTAGCCGTTTAGTTGTGCTCGGTGTGTTGGACTGGAGCCAGAAATCAACGATTGCACATTGCAGTGCGCTCGGATTTGAAGTAGGTTGACGCTGGAAGGAGACAGGTGTTGACTTGGAGAAACCTCTAGATGAATGTCCTGATGTCCAATCCCTCAACATATTCCCTAACAACATGCAATACGAGCATGTGTCATCATTATCATAGGGTGATACCACAAATGATTGTTGTCCTTTGGCTTCCTGTCACACCAAAGGGAGAAGGGTGGCCTCAAAAGAATCACAATGGCATAGCCAACAATCAAGTGGAGGGGCTCGCCTCTGGACGGGACCCGCGACTGATTAGTTGGCCTGCAAGTCTGAAAAGTCCGCAAGGCCTCTTTAAAGCGAATAATGTGGAGGGGATTAAGCATGTTTAAATGGGTGTGTCTTGTTTTTAGGGGACCCCTCCAGCCAAATGAACTATTACATATGGTGGTTGTCCTCTGGGATTTCCTTTTCACACTTCGAAAGAACGGGGTACCCTCAAAAAATCAGTTCCAAACAAGGGGCTAGGGGCCGGCCAAATCGCGAGTTCGCCTCTGGAACCCGGGAAGGGTAGTGCTTGGTGATGGCTTCCAATGCGCTTTTTGGATGTAGAAACCTCCATGGCTTTTGAACTTGTCTCTGAAAGGAATCTTGGGAGACTGAAAAGGTCTGGAGGAGTGGTGGATTCTGTTTATGTTTAGTGGTGCAAAGGAGTGTTGGGCAAACTCACCAGGGGTTGGGACGACGATGCCTGGCGAAGTTACCTTAAGTGGGTGCTGTCCTTTTTGAGTTGCCTTCAACCAACCAAAAAAACAAGTCCGCTGAGAACTCGCATGTTTTCCTGTTGCTATTCCCTTCAGCCACAGGGTTCCATACTTTGGGAATCGCCTGAGGTTTCTTAGACCCGAGGTTGATTGGGGTGGTCCGACAAAACCCGGAATCCCACCAAGGAGCATTCTGAACTCAAAGGAGACTCCTTTGCGCATGAGTGTGGTTTGGGTTCCGCGTTTCACTTCGGACTCATCAGAGAGGTTCCTTTGTGGAACATGGATATCAACTGCGTGCTTTAAAGGATCCCAAAGAACCAGATTCTTTCCAGGGGCAGGTGCCTCCAAACAGCCGCATGCGGAAGACACCTGCTTCAGGCAGCAGGCGCATCATCGCAGAGTTGCCTGGACCTCAGTTCTGTCCTTCCAGTGAAACTAACCCCTGTCACCCTCAAACCCGCTGAGGGGAGGCAGGGGCTCCCTGTATTTTTCCTATTTGGTTGTTTGAAGCATCACCTTTTTGACTTTTTTGTGAGTTTTCTCTTAGTGCTCTTCGAGGCACCCTCCGTGTCCTATGTTTGTGGTTTGTTTTGCTCTTCGGGCTTTTCCCACGTACCATTTTTCTAGGGCTTGATTCCCCATTCTTTTCGACCATCGTTCTTTTCAAAACCAGCCGTTTTCCCTGGGATTCTAGAAAGAAGGATCCCTAGAAAAATGGGGAAGGTACCCCCATAATTTTGGCTGGTTGACATTGCGGCATACAGGTGTTCACAGAACCCAGCTGGTTAGGCAGATTGAGTCACCTCAGACAAACTCCGCTTGGACCCTTCGCATTTGTGCTCTGGTCTTTCAACACGTGGGTGTGTGTTTTTTGAGGGTACCCCCTTTTCATGGCTTTGGGATTTGAACCCCTGGTTCTTGTAGAGGTTAGAAACCACCTCCAAACCACCAATTCGAGTGCAGCCTGGTTGGTCTTTGATGGAAACCACTGCTCAAGGGCGTCCCGGTTCAAAAATAAGATGGATTCCTTTCTTCTAGGTCGAACCCGCCATTGATGGGAGGGGGGATTTTGTTTGCGGTCAACCTCAAAAAACCCGACGACCCACGATTTTCCGCCTAGGTCGCGGAACTGCACAAGACACAGGACAGAAAGGGGGAACATGAAGCGAAGGGAGGCTGCTGTCACGTCAATTGGGTCGCGCCCAGCTAAAATAGTTACATATCTGAAGAATTTGATCGGTCAGTTTGGGGTTTTACATCCATTGCATCCGCAGTGTGGCTGTTCAAGCGTAAAATGTGCGAGCAGCGCACTTGGACGGTTTGTTGTTTCCTTTTGGGCCCCAAACCGGTAACCCTTGAATCTATAGGTTATCAGCCGTAGGCCCCTAGCTCTAAGCAATGGACGGTTCCCTTGTGCCAGTTGATGGATCCAGCATGCCTGTGGATGCTGCCGGAGCTAGCTCCGGCAACGCCACCGGCGGCGGTGTGCGAATGTTCGCATCAAGCGCTAATGCGCAATACAACCGCACCCTGATGAATTCCCTTCAACTGTACAATACCGCAATCTTTGCTTTTGGGAATGATGCAGCCATTAGGTCTGAAGCCGAAGCCCTGCATCAAGCAGCTGTAACGCATTTGCAAGCGGAAAACCGTGAGGAGCTCCGTGCCGCACAGAATCAGCTGCATGCACACTACGCTGAATGTGTGCAAGCCCAGTCGCATAGGATTCGTGAATACGAACAGCGAGTGAGCGATGAGTTCATGCAAGAAGTGAACTTCGCTGAAGCTAGGATAAGCCAAGTGTGTGAGGAAAATGCCCAAGCATTGCATGAAGCGGAAATGGGACGCAAAACAACTGAGTTTAGGCAAGCCATCGAATCCACCCTGGCTGAAGCCCAGCAGCTCCTCCATGAGCAAGCTGCCAAGCATGCCGATGACACAGCCCGTGTCGAGGCTACACACGCCAGAACGGTTGACATGATGGCACACCAAAACGGGCTTCTGCAGGACGAGCTTGATGAGCTGAAGAAGTATCAGAAGCAACACGACCTCCGCGAGGATGGATCGAAGCCCAAAGGGGTAGGTGATACCCGAGAGGATTCACCAGAGTTGATGACCGACGACATGAAGTCAGCTCGGTCCCAAAGGTCAATGTTGGACCCGTTGACCCATCCGTTTCAATATGCAAAGGAAAAGTTGAGGTCGCTTGTTACCTATGACGGTTACGGGGATGAATATACCCCTAGCGTGATTCCAACTGCCGAATGCGAAGCACTGCCCGCAGATGCTCGCGATCCGCAAGGACCAGCTGAAAAGCCATCAGGTAGCAGCCGATCCCCGGTGAAAACAAGTGCACCGGTCCCACCCCTGCAATTCTCTCAGGGGCCAATGTCAACTGACCGCAAGCAGGGTGGTAAGCCTCCCGGCGGTCCGCCACCTGATGATGATGGCGATGGCGATGGTGATGAAGACGAAGGTGATGGCCTTGGGCCTAACCTCGGCCAAGAAGCATTCGCCAAAATGTTGATGAAGTTAGTAAAAGGCCACACGAACGATGAAAAGCCCAGAACCCGCGAAAGCGAGACGTTGCGATTCAAGGAGATGCCAACTCCTGAAACGTACCGTGAATGGAAAACATCGGTTCGTGAGGATGTCCGCGCCGCATCTGACCGTCCAGACGAGGCTTGGCCTTGGATCATGGAAGTCTGGTCTGATCGCGAGGACAAGAAGAAGCTGTTGGAGGAGCTCGGCGAACCGGGAAAATTCGTGACCCTAGACACGAAGATTCTCGCAGCGCTCACGCGTTCAGCGAAAGGCGATCTGGCTCAGCGAATCCTAACAGCAAAGGAAGAATGTGCCAAGGAGGGAAAGGCCATGAGAGGAAGGCAGGTCTTGTTTATGTTTGACCAATATTTCAAGACCAGTGAAGAAGCCGGAAACCTCTACTCCTTGGAGGACCTGTTGCGTGTCTCGCGACACGGCGAAGGAATCATCGATCTCAAGCGTTTCCTGAATGCTTGGGATTCCGTGATCGCCGGCATGAAAAAGCCGCCGGAAGAAAAGGTGTTGAAAGACATCTTGCTTCGCCAAGTGAGAAGCTGCCATCTGTTGCGGTACGACATCGACACATATGATCGTTGCCGTGATGATGATCCCAATAAATCGTACGATTTCCTAATGCGTTGCATGAGGGATCTAATCGAGAGGGATAGGCTTCGCGAGAACCGAGAGCGCGTGTCCAAGGTCAATGCCAGTAAAGCCCCGACGCCCAAGGCTGGTGCTGCCGCCCCTGAAAAGAGGGACCCCAAGAAAAAGAGCGCACCTAAGCCGAAGGACACCGAGGAGAAGTACTGTTTTGACTTCCAGAAGGGTTCGTGCACGAGGGGGGCAAACTGCCCTTACGCGCACCGCAAGGAGCCGCGAGGACGCTCCGCGACCCGCGGCAGGCCAAGTTCCCCCAAAGGCGGTAAAGGAGAGAAAGCACCGTGTTCATTCTTTGCCCAAGGGAAGTGCACGAGAGGTGATAAATGCAAGTTTAGCCATGCCTCCACGGGCGGCAAATCTGCCGCCGCGGCATCGAGCAGCGAGGCCAATGCAAATCCTGCGGCTAAGAAGCGTGCAAATTCACCTAAGCCTAAGCCCAAGGCCAAAGCCGCTGCAGTCTGCACCAGGTACGCCATGTTCGCAAAGCCGATCAACCCAATTGGAGTGTCATTCGACACCAATGCTCATGTTCATGAAATCCCCGCCGAAGGCGATGGTTTCAAGCTTGAGTATGAGGAACGCCAGTACAATAGGATGTTTCCAAGTGCCAAGGACTGCCCCAGGCCGACCAAAGGGACTAACAAGGCAGCGCGCAAGGCCGCGAATCAGTTGAATGCCGTAGTCAAAGCCATGGAGAATGGAGCCCAGCCCGCTTGCGGTTTCATGTGCGATGTGGAATCCGATTCCATCTCAAGCCTATCGTGTGATGAGTGCCTGAGAGTTGCCATGCCGCCTCACGATGTTCGCAAGGATGTCGAAGCGCCAAGGGCAGCCACCCCTGCCCCAAAGGGAAAGGATGTGTGGCTCATTGATTCCGGTAGTGAGCAGGACCTCATCAGCAAGGCTGCACTGAGGAATGCGTCCAAGGCAATCCGAAAACAGGCCCCGCAGCCTATTCGCCTTGTGACTGCAAACGGAAACATCACTGCTTCCGAGATCGCCGACATCAATGTCGATGCATTGTGCGAGCCTGCTCAGCCTTACATCCTCGAGAGTTCTCCCGCAGTGCTGTCGCTGGGTGTGAAGTGTCTGGATCAAGGATATTCCTTTCATTGGGAATCCGGGAAGGCACCAACCATGGTTCGCCCTGACGGTGCTCTGATCCAGCTCAAGGTTGACGGTCATGTGCCATACATGGACTCTAGTTGTGAAGCTGAGCCATCGTTGAGTGCAGTAGCAGCATCAAAGCCAGCGCCTGCGCCAGTTCATGACGAAGGCATCGACGAAGGTGATGATCCCGACGACGAAGTTGAGCGGTTTGTGAGATCCCGCAAAGAGCAAGATCTGGTTGCCGAAGCAGGTACCAAAGAGCACTTGTTTGCACACTATCCGAAGAATCCCTTTTGCCGCACTTGCCAACGTGCCAAGATGCTTGCCCCATATGCAAGATCGAAAGGCGGGCAGGGAAGGCTCGAGACGAAAGCGTTTGGAGATCACATCATTGCTGATCATGTGATTCTCAAGGCCAACATCGAGCAAGGCATAAAAGGTGAATGGTGTGCTCTTGTGATCAAGGACGTGCATACGCAGTTCAGGTACGTTTACCCGTCGACCAGCAAAAGCACGGAGCAATCCGTTGCAGGGATCCAGCATTTCATTTCCGGTAGGGATGAGGTTGAGGTTCTCTACACTGATAACTCCCGGGAATTGAAAGCCGCAATAGAGCAGTTGGGGTACCGTCATCAGACCTCCATTGAATATGTTGATTCTTCCAAATCTTTCGTGGAAAGGGAAATCAGACATCTGTTGGAGGGAGCACGTGCGAACCTTGTCCAGTCAGGGTTCCCACTGTCGATGTGGCCATTTGCCATCCAGCACAATGCAGTTGCGACCAACATCCTGCCACAGTTGAATGGAAATGATTCGCCATGGTACCTCAGGTTTAACAAGACCTTTGATGAAGCTGAGATACCTTTCGGAGCAAAGATACTGTTCTGGAACAACCCTGCACGAGCTGACAATCAGGCAGGCAAGACTTCGCCAACATCGAATGAAGGCGTGTTTCTCGGGTACCATATTCAGCCTGGGTTCGCATGGAAGGGTGAGTTCCTCGTTGCAAAACTAGAAGGGCTCGATTACCATATCGAACATGCGTCCCTCACGGTACAGCGAACAAAGCGCATTGAGCTTCCGACTGATGAGTTCATCTTCCCGATGAGGTTGTTGAAAGACCCTGCATCTCATCCACCTGTTGCCAGTGCTAGGACACGAGATGATCCTGTGCCGTTGGAACGTGGGCAAGCCCACATCGAGGAACCCGCCGCATCGGAGAAATCCGAAGCGAAGACCAAGCCTGTCGTGCCCGACAAAGGCGGCGCATTCGACCCGAGCATAATGCCTGATGGGTCACCAGTACCTGATGGCTATGTGTGGGATGGGGTTCGGCTCGTCCGTAGGAAGGCCGGATCCAAAAGGCCTCCCGATATCCCGTCTGACATGTGGGTCATGCTCGGCAGCCAGGACCGAAAGGCCCTAACCCAGCAGTACGAAGATCAGCTCCGTGCAGATGCCAAGAAGGCAGTGCTTGAGACAGCAGTCTCTTCGGAGGCCAGATCCGAGCACCCCGAAGCCGCATCGAGTGCAAAGCCGACCAGCGCCGCCCGCGAGGGCGAGCCGACATTGCCTGTGATCCGGCACGCGCCTGCGATGTCCGTTCTTCCGGAACGTGACAAGTCATCGAAGGAGCCGCATCGCCCGCAATTGCGTGAGTTGGTCGAAGAGCGAATCAAGAAGGTTGAATTTGATGTTGCTCTTGAACTGTTCAGTGCAGTCGTTGCCAGGCTTGTACCAAAAGCCGAAGTAGCCAATACGCCAAAGGCCCAAGCTGCCCTTGACAAGGAATGGGAAAACCTTCGAAAGAAAGGCACTTGGGATGAGTTC